ATTGTTGCGCCAGGAGGCGATTGCTTCCCAGGAGGACAGCGGGGTCCCCTTGGGCAAGGAGAGCCCAGCCAAGGCGCTGGAGAAGGGGGGCAGCCAGCCCCAGCCCCTCGGTCCCGCGGGGAACCGGGACACCGAGAGGGTCCCTGCAAAGAGCCAGAGCGTGGACGTGGTCCCGGCTGCAGTGGGGACAGCCAGCAGCGCCAGGGGCAGGCAGGCAGGGGTCTGTCCTGGGGAAAAGCAGGCAGATCCCAGAATTAAAATAGAAATTTGCCCCTGGGAGGAGAGTGAAAGTGAGCGCTGGGGGCCAGGGAGAGCCCCGGGGAAGGGCAGCAGCAAGGGGGATCCTGGCTACCCCGGAGAAGAGCCGAGAATGGAGAAACCACCAGCAAAAACCCCAGAGCTGCCCAAAGCGGCTTTGAAGACAGCGGGCAGCGCAGAGGGCAGAATGGCTGAGGTTGTTTGTCCGTGGGAGAGCGAGGAAGGGGAAAGGGCCACGAGAGCAGAAATCTGCCCCTGGGAGGTGGAGGAGGCTCAGCCGGAGCAAGAGAAGCAGGAAGGTGAGAGGAGGGGGCTGGCCAAGTGGGTGAAGAGCATCAGAACAAAATCATTGGTTTTGCTGAGAGCGCAGGAGAGCGGGAGCAGCCTGCAAGCGGCCGGCTGGCCCTGGGGCAGCACCAGCAGCGAGGGACCCCCACCGAAACCTGCTCCCAGAAGCTCTGAACTGCCAGAAGTGACCTCGAGGAGCCCGACAAGCTCACGGGCTTCGGTTTGTCCCTGGGAAATGTCTGGAGATGACAGTGATGCAGAAGTTTGCCCTTGGGAAAAGAGAACAGCCTTTTCCGATGCAGGAAAACTAGATGATGGTGAAGTTTCCCAGGTGAAAAATGGGATTTCCCCGCAGAGAGCAGCCCTGAGAGGCAGGAGAGAGGCAGCTCCGGCTGCAGAGAAGGGGAGCAGCCAGCGAGGATCTCCCAGTTCCAGGGAAGGTGCAGAGCAGCCCGGTACAGAGCTCGTGGCAAAACACCCAGCTCTGTCCAAAACATCCCCCAAGCAGGCAGGAACCACGGATAGCAAGAAGGTCAGCATTTGTCCATGGGAAGAAGAGGATGAGCCACTTCCTAAAACAGAAATCTGTCCTTGGGAAGAGCCTGCAGCTCCATCGGGGAAGGAGAGATCCAGTCAGGACATGCGTGGGACTTCCAAAGGGGAAAACAAACCAGGATCCAGAGGACTTGAAGATATCAAAGCAAAGCTGGCAGAGATGGGTCGCCGTCAGTCTGAGCGCAGGGACACCAGCATCTTTGCAAAGCTCATTAGGAAAAGCCTGGAGTGCTCAAAAGCAGAGTCCAAAACATCCCAGAGCGTGCAGAGCATAAAGGAGGTCTGTCCCTGGGAGAGCTTGGACACGGAGCAGCCCCCAGAAAAACCTCGTGCCAGGAGTCCAGTGCTGCCCAAATCACCTTCAAAGAAATCCCAGAGCGTGGAGAGCCTGAAGGCGGACATCTGTCCTTGGGAGGTTCAGGAGCTCGAGTCTACCGATAAAGCAGAAATCTGCCCCTGGGAGGCAGCTGCTCCACCATCAAGTAAAGAGAAATCAAGACAGGACAAAGATAGTCTGTCCATGGGGAGCAGAAGCTCTCCTACAAGTCAAGGTCTGCACAAAGAGACTGGAGATAGCACAGCTGGAAAGAAGGCAAAAGCGAGCACAGACCGCGAGTCCATCTGCCCCTGGGAGAGCACGGACATGGAGGGCCCCTCTGTGGAGTACCGCACAAAGAGCCCGGAGCTGCTGAAAGCCACCACTAAGAAATCTGAGAGCAGAGGGAGCATGATGGCTGAGGTCTGTCCCTGGGAGAGTCTGAGCACAGAGCAGTCCCCAGAACAACCCCACGCCAGAAGCCCAGCACTGCCCAAATCGCCTTCAAAGAAGTCCCAGAGCGTGGAGAGCCTGAAGGTGGAGATCTGTCCTTGGGAGGTTCAGGAGCTCGAGGCCACCGATAAAGCAGAAATCTGTCCCTGGGAGGCAGCTGCTCCACCATCAAGTAAAGATAAATCAAGACAGGAGAAAGATGGTCAATCCATAGTGAGCAAAAGCCCTTCTAAAAGTCAAGGTTTCCGCAAAGAGACTGGAGATAGTACATCTGGAAAGAAGGCGAAAGTGAGCACAGACCGCGAGTCCATCTGTCCCTGGGAGAGCATGGACATGGAGAACCCCTCCATGGGGTACAGCACAAAGAGCCCAGAGCTGCTGAAAGCCACCACTAAGAAATCTGAGAGCACGGGGAGCATGATGGCTGAGGTCTGTCCCTGGGAGAGCTTGGACATGGAGCAGACCCCAGAAAAACCTCGTGCCAGGAGCCCGGCGCTGCCCAAATCACCTTCAAAGAAATCCCAGAGCGTGGAGAGCCTGAAGGCAGAGATCTGTCCTTGGGAATTTCAGGAGATTGAAGCTGGTGACAAAGAGGAAATCTGCTCCTGGGAGATGGCTGCACCTCCCCCCGATCAACCAAAGGCAAAGCAGGGTCCAGGGGGGGCTTCAAAGGGGGACAAGCGCATCACGCGCCAGGCAGCGTTAGCCAGCCCGGTGAGATGCCTGGAGAAGGGCAGCAGTGAGCGAGACGCCGTGTGTCCCTGGGAGAGCTTGGGCATGGAGCAGTCCCCAGAACGGGAGAGCTTGGACACGGAGCAGCCCCCAGAAAAACCTCGTGCCAGGAGTCCAGTGCTGCCCAAATCACCTTCAAAGAAATCCCAGAGCGTGGAGAGCCTGAAGGCGGACATCTGTCCTTGGGAGGTTCAGGAGCTTGAGTCCACCGATAAAGCAGAAATCTGCCCCTGGGAGAGCCTCAAAACTGCAATGAGGAAAGAGCCATCCAAGAAGTCCGACAGCACAGAGAGCAGGAAATCTGATATTTGCCCCTGGGAAGCAGCAGAGCCCACTGGCTTGGAAAAGGAAAGCTTCAAACCAGGCATGTGCCCCCAGGGAGCTGACAGAGCATCCCCCACAGGGACGGGAAAGTCAAAGCCAGTGGCAGGAGCCAGTGCCATGTCTCCAACAGCACTGCTGAAAAAATTCAAGGGCAGATCTTATGGCGATGCTGAGCACAAGCCCCTGTGCCGCATGCTGCCAGGCATCCAGTCCCTGTGGGTTCCCAGCGCAGAGCTGCTGCCTTGGGAAGTGAGCATGGCTCCCGCGGCGGACAGCAGCCCCAGCCCCAGCGGTAGCGTAGCTGAGGTTTGTCCCTGGGAAGCAGAAGAGGCTCCACCAGCATCTAGCAAAACCACCACAGACACGAGGAAAACCTCCGAGGTGTGTCCGTGGGAGGTGGAGAGCGTGGATCCCTCCCCGACCCTCCACAGGCAGGGCAGAGCCGGGGCCAGTCCCCAGGACAGGGGCAGGGGGGCGAGTAAAGCCCAACCAGCCGTCTGCCCATGGGAGGATGAGTAGCTCCCTCCGTCTGCCCACCAGCTGGGTGCAGACATGGCTTTCATGAACAGCAAGTCCTAAGCTGAAGGCTGCTGCCTACCTGCACAGCCCAGATGGGGACAGAAGTGTCCACCAAAGCCAACAGCACGGCCACACTCCCAGTGGGCTCCAGTGGTGGCCATCAACCAGCCAGGCTTGGGGACCAATGCAGCAAGGGGACAGTTAACATCTCCTGCCTTCATCGAAGCACTTAAGCCAGGCAGTAGCCTGCCAACGCCACCCATCGCTTCCCCACGGGTAACTGGCCCAGCGCAGGGGCCCCTTGCTCCAAGCGGGGCACCGAAATATATTAAAACACCCGTGGCACCGGTCTTGCTCGCTTGCACCAACACAGCAGACACAAAGCTACGGCTTGCTAGCTAGAGATGCTCACCCGCAAGCTCTACAGCAGTTGAACGTCCTCCTACCGCATGGGGAGGTCTGTGCCTCTGGCACAGCGAGGAACGGCTTGCCCGGCACCCTGAAATACCCAGTCCCGCAGCCTCGGCAAGCTGGACACTGAAACAGGGGAAAAGTCAAACCAGGGGCAGCAACGATGTGATTGGGAGGAAAACAGCTTTCCAGAGTTCCTGCAGCCCAGCTGATCTCCCCCAGTGCTGCTGTCGCCTCCATTTTAAGCCAGGGTGGTTCCTGTAAGCAGCGCGAGGACCAGGCAGGTTCTGAAGCCTGGGGTAAAGAGCAGTTGTTCCCAGCCAGCCCCACATTTTGTTTCCTTGACACAAAGTCATTTATTTTTAAATGTCCTCTGAAGTCACCGAGCCAGCCACAGAACTTCCACGCACGCCAAGCAAACCTTTCTGCTCTGTTTTGGTCCAGCAACGCCAGCCCAGTGCTTCAGCACTGCTCTTTGGCAATGCCCACGATCATCTCTGTTCCACCGCATGACCCGGGTGGGATAAACCAACCTTCAGGCCACTCCACTGCTCTGCTTATAGAAACCTCTGCATCCATGAAAGCCGAGATGGGTATTCCTGCTACTAACCTTCTCTCTGACTAACTTTACGGCACTGCTACACTTCTAATTCCTGCAGCAACTGAGCTGTAAAGGTTTGTCTTAACGAACAATGCCACTTAACTTTTCAAAGCACTTTGTCATTACTGGTTACTTCTTTGCTCATACCGTGTGTGCGTGTGTGTACATTCACCTTGCATACAAACATGCCCAGGGCTCACCTTCCCATCACAGGAGAGTTTTTTCCATCAACATTCCCACCGGCGCTAGCAAGCCTTCACTTTTACAGCCCATCTGTAGAAGCACTGGATGCCTTTTGTCATCCCACATTTCAACTTCTCCCTGTATTCACAAGACCCATTCCTTTGGGGCAGAGATGCAAATAGACTCCTGTATGGCAGAGAATACGCCGAGACCACAGAGGCACTAAGGTCTCCAGAGCATCAGACAGGGCTCCCGGGTTTGCCGTTACTCCAGCCCTCCCACTCACAAAGACACAAGGGAAGGGATGAGGCCATACGTGTGGGGAAAAGCCTCAGGGTCAGGAAGGCAGCAGCTGGGAAACAACAAAGCCTCCCAACTCCCCAGATTTGTCCCTCTGCTCCACTTCGATGGAAACAAATAAAAACAGAGACAACAGAAGCAAAGGTTTCAGTTCTCCCTCTGATCTCCATGCAAGGCTGGGGCTCAGGGCTCGTCCTGCCCTTCCTTTGTCGTTTACTTCCACTCTCCTTAGAAAGTGGCGTTGCTGTAGCGTGCTGTCTGTGGTCTTCAGCGCTGAATGTCAAACGATCATCCAATTGTGTAAGTAAGTGTACATACAGAAAATAAAAAGTATTATCTACAAAGTGCACACTTAATGGCTGATTTATGGGGCGTAGGCAAGATACTAACTACACTCAAGGAAGAGGTACAACAGAAAATAGCGAGGCGGTAAAGGAAACGCAGGAACAGAAGTGGCTCAGTTGCAGAGGTTTGAATATTGGCAAAGGAGATGGGAGCCACACACAGCTAGACCGGAAGGAAGGGCCGTTCTCCCCGAAAAGCCTGCCACTCCACCAGAAAACACGCTCTTTCCATTCACAACTAGAGCTGAAGAACCTTGTCTGTAGGTCTTGGTTGAGAAATCACATCCATACCTGCTTGTAAGCTGCCTGAGTCGCCCCAGACACAAACCAGGCAGCTCACGCTAATTTATTTTAGCTCCTAGCCCAACTCGCATATGCTGGAGCACTGAATCTCTCTTCAGCTCATGAATGAAGCGTAGGCAGAAGGCTCAATATAGTAGGTTCTTTCAGGAAAGGCAGACAGATTGTGACACCCTTCTGATTTCCAAAAAGATGAAAGGGATTCCATCGCTGGCTCCTCTCCTAACAGAGCATAAAGATGATATTCTGCCCTTTCAAAAGAACATCATTCACAAGAAACGCTGAACAACTTCACAAGCGTAAGGAGCCATAACTCTTCCACTGCATACTCTGCAAATTCTCTTTCAAGGACGAAGAAAAAAACGCACTAAACTCTCACCAGCTCTGGAAAATGGCTGAGTTAAAAAGCAAGACAAGGTTGAAAAAGAAAATGCTTCGCTGTTTGATGACTAGTGAATATTTTGCTTCGTGACTAGCAGTAAATGGAACTTATCTGAGCAGAACAGAGTAAGAACAGATTAGCAAAGTGCACCGGCTTACTCCCAGCCACAGGAAAAGGTAACCTCTGGGTCGGTGTCTCCCTTACCCACACAGCCTGCAAAACCAGGGGACCTGATGCGAATGTCATCGTGGCCACAGGATGGTGCCAGCCACTCGCTAACATCCCACTGCTGAATCCACCAGCGGCTGTAACAAATGCACCAAAACCCATCAGCTATGAGAAAAGCTGCCTTAGGAGTCAACAAATTTTATTAAATTATCAGTGCTGTGCTGCAGCCCCTTTGGGAAGGCTTGGCCCTTAACAAGCACCCCTTCAGCAGAAGCCCAATTGCAGCACCCACCCAGCAGAATTTGATTTACAGTGTGCTTGCTGCTCTTCCCAGTTTTCTGGTTAAAAAAAAAAAAAAAAAAAAAAAAACCCGGGGAATAGGCGCAAAAAAAAGGAAAAGAAAGTGCCAACACCTGCTGCTGCAAGTTTTAATGAAAGCCCACCGTGTCTATGACACTTCCCATGGAAGTGCCAAATATCCCACGTCTGGACAGACTTCTGCTGCCAAGAGCTCTCACGATTCAAGTTCAGGGCAGAGGTTAGCCTAGACACCGATCCTGAAGAGAACAGACTTCTCATCTTCACGGAAACACAGAGAAGTTTAAGCTGCAGCACACTAAGTCTACTAGGACAGAGTAAAGCTCTTCTCAGAGCTTGTCTGAATCCCCCTCCCAGGCCCCTCTCGCTCCATTAAAGACAACTTCTCAGTGACTGGAGTTCATTTCTGAAGCCGCTCTGTTTGTTGACTGCACACAGGAAGGGCACAGCCATATCCAACCCGCTACCTCCACAGGCATTCTCCACTTCTTCCCTCCAGGATTGTTTGCACTGCTGTCTCTGCACAGGCTCTGGAACTTCCTACTTCATTTCTTCATACTCTTGTGAGGGATCCAAGGTTGGGCCGGGAATCATCACAGTCTGAAAAAGCAAGGAACAAAATCAGCACAACACAGAGCAGCTCTGAACTGCTGTAACAGGAATTCTTCATGTTACAGAGCACGAAAAAGGGTGATTGGGGGTTCTGGCAACACAAAGGCCTCTCACAGGAAGGTGACCAGATGGCAGCAGCATGGGGGAGGACACAGAGGGGGAATGGGATGACATGCCTTGTACTACACTATAGTTCTCACCTCCTTCCTCTCTCAGACATTTTTAGTAACACAGGAAGACAGAGCACCTGCATCACTTTGCCAGGCTACGTACAGGGAGCAGTAACCCCCTAAATTATCACATATGTGTCAAATGCCCTCAGCCTCCTATTACAGCTTCTAGGTTACCCTAATTCAAGTGTGTGTGTGTATATATATACACAAAATATTCCAGATGGAGACCTCAAACACCCTATGGAATTCAGTGAAGTCCTCTGTTACCCCTGAAAATTAGGTACAGGAACAGTCAGCCAGCTTAAAAATCAACTCGCTATGTAGTTGAGGGCAGAAGCCACGTCTCTCTCAAGGTACAGAGACTCATCTTTCACGCAGCACTAATCACGGAATCACAGAATTTTCAGAGTTGGAAGGGATCTCTAGAGATCATCTAGTCCCACTCCCCCGCTAAAGCAGGATTGCCCAGAGCACATCACTCAGGACTGCATCCAGGCGGGTCTTGAAAATCTCCAGAGAAGGGGACTCCACTAACTGTTCTAAGTTACCTACACCAGGCTTTTCCTGTTACTACAGAAACCTCTGGGCAATATCCAACAGCTGGCTGGAACAAAACACAAGGGCAGCCAGGCATAAAACCTTCACAAGCAGCAGAAAAGCTATCGGTCATGACTAGGACAGAAGCACACAACTGGCAAAGACTTCCTGGGACTAAGCCCAGCACTTGGCACTTATAATATACGATAGCCATCATGAGAGGTGTTAGAGGCTGATAATGCCACACTAATAAATAAGTCTGCTTCTGGATTAATCCACTACTTTCCCGTTCCAGGAAACTCAGCTTTGGTTTTGTCCAGAATTAACTAGGGGTCTATGAAACGCAGGCACAGGCCATGCTGGTGCCTTCTCCTGGCGGCATTACCTTAACAATGGGCTCCTTCGGCGGAGCCCATTCTGGAACAATCTTGCCGTGCATCCTCCACATGCCATATGGATTGACCAAGTACCTCTCAAACACGACATACTCCAAAACGTCCTTGGGCACCTGCTCCCCTCCATACATCAGCCGCCCAAAGCGGTCATAGATCGCCAGAATCTGCAAAAAGAGACAAGAAACATATGTTGGGCTGGCAGCAGGTTGGAGTCAGTTGGGAAACGCAAGGAGCAAAAGGGGATGTACCTGTCGTGTGTGCATCCGCACCGTCACC